AAAAAGTATCACAAACATGAACATCTTTGAAATATTTCCTCATTAAGTGAAACTAGACAATATTAAGAGCATTTTGCAAAAAGAATGGGTTAAAAATAATGAAGCATGAGAAAGTTATGAAGTTTTGAATTTTATGAAGAAAGCATAAAAACAAGAGATAAAAAATAATGGAATGGTCATGGAAGGTGTTGAACCCACGCCCTCTAGTCTACAAGCTCAAAATAATACCAACTCAACCAATACACGCACATGTAAATTCAATGGAAATGAAAGAGAAAATAATGAAAACATGGCAAGGCGTGAAAAAATGAAAAAGGGTTGATCTCCACTGTGGATCGAACCCAGGACAGACAGGTGAAAGGCGCATGAGAAAGTGAGATTTAACCACTGGGGTGGTGATACATCCATGTATTTTTCCACCCCTAAAATTTAAATACCTAACAAAGCATGAAAATCTGGGCAAGGCAAACACATATGAGAAGCAAGCAAGAACATGGATACGACAACATCATAACTTCATCAATACTCAGCCAAATGCAACAAAATTTTAGTCTATCTTGAGTGAAATTTCATGAGGAATTCAGTGGTGATCTTAGTTTTTCAAGATGATGCACCCATTTCAAAATTCAAAAGTAAATGCAAGTGGAAGCTTTAGAGATGCATTTTGAAAACCAAGGATCAAACTAAATACTTTTAAACTCATGTAAGGGCTCAAGCAACTTTCAAATATGTTAATTAATGACTCTAGATGCCAAGGCCAAACAGAAACATCTTAAAACATGGAACTGGTATGCAAATGGTAGTGTGAAGCTTGAAATTGCAATAGAGTATCTACAACTCATGACAGTTGGATTTAATGACATATAAAGGCATGCACAAATCATAAATGCATAAACCAATGATTCTGATGCGAAAAATCATACCAAATCAAGTCCAATCAAAAAAGAGACATGCAAGTTGCACATATGCCTTGAAAATGCATTTTGGAAGTTGTGAATCAAAACTGACATGAACAAACTCAAAGAGAGCCAAACATATGCTTCAAATATGATACTCATGATTATGCTCAAAGAAACAAACTCTAATTCATACTGAATCATGAAATGACCATTCAATTGCAACTTAAGGAAGTATTTTAGAACAAAATTGCATTTAGCCAAATATTAAACAATAGTTCACAACATCATGCTTATCAATCCACAATTTGCAGCAGTCACCGAATACACACATACAAATGATGATAGCTTTTCAAGTTTGAGAATGAGACTTGATACCAGAGGCTAACAGACCTCAAAGTGACTTGGCAACCAACAAAATCATGAATAAAACACATTGATCATCAGAAAAAGCTCCAACAGCTCTGAATCATTTCAATAGAAGCAACCCAAACCAAACATGTTGACAATTACAATGAAATGATGCACTCAATAGGGCTCTCTCAGAGCCATAACAATTTAACAATGTTGATGCAGAAATGACAGACATGCCAATCATAACCATGTTAATCTTTAAACAAACCACATCCGCATAATGATACAAGGACATGAAATGAACATGTGAAATGCTAAATGCTACTCATTTACATAATGATACAAAGCACACAAAAATGAACATGTTGGCAGAATTCAAACAGTTATTTGATGAATCAATACGCCTAGCCAAACACAGGAGCAAACAGCCAAGGATGATGCAGCCACAAGCAAAAGCCACAAGTGGATTAGGACCTTGCCTAACAAATAGAGTTTAACAAACTCAAAACAGAAATAACTTCTCTTGTAACCAAAACAAACTTCTAAGCATAACCAAGTTAGCACCCCTAACAGATTTACCATAATAAATCCATAACACACTTCTAATGAGAAAAATGCAAACCTAAGGCAACAGCAAGAACAACACTGAGGAGTCAATAGCAACAGGGCAATCAGCTCTTGGTATTCCAATCAATGTTTTTGATGGATTCCAATCACAGCTTCACAAATGATCTCCTCTAAGATCAACCAACATACATAAACACTGAAAATGGCATTGTTGATCCTCAAAGGTTTAGGTATATTTCAACACACCTTGTATGAGTCATTTCAACCTCATGTATACCAAACAACCTAACACAATGCCTTAAGGGCAGACATGACATGAATAGGTGAGATGCACAAAGAGATCAAAGCATGAAACATTGGCAGTCAAGTGTGAAACTGATAGGCACATATTACAATCATGGCATATGCACAATTTTCACATAAAGATACAACAACAAGACATTAGATTTGAGAATGGCATATCAATTGTAAATTGTGCATTTAGATTGAAAGCATAAACAGAAAGTTGCAGTTCCAAATCAAACCTAGTTTCAAGAACTCAAACATGAATAAAACATATAGGGATCCTAATCCAAAATTGTCAACAAAAGATCAACGTTAAGTGAGGCTGCAATGATACCTCCCGAGTTGTTTTGTAACAGAACCAACATAAAACAAATGTGACTTGTGATAACATCCAACATTAACTCATGACAGAAATTAACTCAACATCCACAAGACATATTCATATCAAGGCAAAGGCATATCCAAGGCAATTACATGCTCAAAACAGTTGGCATAATACAAACTGGCAGATTTGCTCATAGATTACATTTTGCAATTAAACACCAAGCACACTAAGCACATCAATCATGTTCATGACAGAAATGAAAGGATAGTAACCATTAACCTTTTGTAGACCTCCACACAAGCTTGTTGCAATATGGAAAACCTTGAGAAAAACTTCAGCAGCTGTCCAACTTGTTTTGATGAAAACAATTTTTCTTGTACTTGAAGGAACTTGTGACAAATCTCAAAATAAATGAGAATGAGGTTGTTTTATGTTATGGACAGTTGATACATCATATATGAAAGGTGTGTGGATGGTTAGAATGAAGAAAACAGGTATGGACAGAAGTTTGGCAGATTTTGAGTATAAGGTCAAACTTGCTTGGTTTGAGAGTTGACTTTTGGAAGAATGGTGTTTTTGAGTGGTTTAGGAGTATGAACACCTTCTACAAATCATTTATGGATTGTGCAGATGGTTTTTGGTGGTTTGGAATGTGTGGAAATGGATTTGGGAAGCCAACTGCCCAAGACAGATTTTGGTGAAACTTGAGATTTTTGAAAATGATGGAATTGAGAAAGGAATGAGAGTTGTGGTTTTCTCTTGGTTCTAAGAGTGCTCTTTTGTGTAAAGGACATAGAGGGATCCTCTATTTATAGGAAAATAAAGGATGAGGACAGATTTGTAACTTGGCACTTTTGGAGGAATTTTGAAAAGGTAACCCTAGGCTTGAGGTTTGGTGCAACTGCAAAATCAGATCCTTGGCTCAACTAATGCATTGTTCAAGTGGAAATGAATGACATAATGGTGATTAGATTGGCTAGGCAATAGGGGGTTGTTTGCTGCAAGTGTGCCAAAAGTTTCTCTTTCCTCCCTTTATATGAATAAAATACCCCCACTTGCCTCAAAGCTGCAAGATTTGCTAAACCTCCTTATTTGTTGCATTTCTTCTCTTCAAACCCTCTAAATATCATATAGAAATAAGATCCAAGGGCTGAGAATAGATCAAGTGGTCAAAGGATGAGTTTGTGACAAATTGACAATGTGGGACTTAAGTGTTAAAACCTCATCTTATTAAACCCTCATGTAGCTCATAAGGGCTATGGAGGAGTTCTAATAAATTTTGGAAAACCCTCATGTAGCTCTACAACTTTCATGTTTTCATGAGTTTCAGATTCCCAAAGGAACTTGCCCAAAAGAACCTCTCAAAGTTGCTGAAAAACAAGTCTAAAAGTGAAATTTTTCTAAGTTACTTTTCCCTCTTGTAATAAATTTGGTCATAACTCCAAATCTATGCATTTTATGCTCATGGACCACTTTGGGACTTTTGTAGGACTTGTCAAGAGATTTCCAATGGGCTTTGAACCAACTCAATTGGATGTGTGGTTAAGGAGTTATGGTCTTGCCCCTTTCAAAATCCTAATTCCCGACTTTTGCGATTACTCCTCAATCCTTGATCCAATGGTCATGAAATTTTATGGGTAGGTGAAATATGTCATTAGGAACATTTTTGATTCATATCTTGAGGTCAAATTCCTTATGAGTGAAGAGTTGACTTTTCGGTCAACCGAACGATCGATCGGTGACTACCGAGTCGACTGTTGATGCTCCGGGCCTTTTGAGGCCTTGAAACTTCTTGAGTAGACTTCACTAAGCCATATGAACTTTATGGATCATTATCCCACCATTGTAACACCTTTTAAATCAAAAGTCAAACCATAGTTGACTTTTCCTACTCGAAAACCCTAATCGGGTACCCTGAACTGCATTGTCCTTGATTCCTGGGTGACAACCTCAAATTGGATTCATACTTGATCCCATGGAGTATTTTTGATGATGTGGAGACTTATCTCAAGGAGAACCAATCCAAGGCGTTGACTGATTAACCTTTGAAACCTCGATTTCGGCTGTATGGAACCCTGATTCCTGTATCTTAACAAAAACAATCTTGAAACGGGTTAAGGTTAGATAATTAAATGAGTATGATCCTAAAACGATGATGAAGATCTAAGGGGTCAAAATTTGGGGTATGACACCCCTCCCCTCCCCTGGGAACCAAACATATATTTGAATAAAACTTCTCCCTCTCCTCCCCTTTATTAAAATCCCTCCCCTCCCCTCCGTTGAAACCATGATAGGAGTCATTCAATTACAATTGAAGAATGTTATTTTTGAGAGCGACTCCCAATTAATCGTGCAAGTATCCATGCTAACAGCGATGGTAACTCGAAATTTAGTTTGATTATTTCGAATATTAAATCTATTAAATTGCTCATGTGTTAACAAAAACAACCGATTTAGACGTAGTAGTTTTTACTTGATTCCTCCTAATAGTTGAACATGATTTGATTAATCAAATTATATAGGTTTGTTTGTGTAAAAAGAAACACACACAGATAACAATTTGGGTGATATAAATGTCCATTGTTGGTCCCTCCCGCCAATGTCCTAATATGTCGGTGGTTGTATGTTTGGTGCGAATCCATGTCTCCTCCATTACAAGAACACTCCGTTTCTCCTCCAAAACCAATCCACACCGAGGTATTAACTTCACACTCCATTCTTATTTTTAATTCTCTCCTCTACTGCATTTTCCATCATGTTTTTCATATTTTCAACCCTTCAGTGTCCCAAATTAGCGTCCCTGCGATTAACAGGACACCCAAAAACGCTACAGAACTTAAACCCAAGAACCACTTGCCCCAAGTTCAAGACCAAAAAGTGAGACTTTCATTGCTGTTTTCGTTTTTAACTAAGCTATTTCAATTTTCAAATTAAAATTTTTGAATTCTTGATGTTCCTAATTCTATCTATTTATGAGGAAATTTTCATTTGCAATATAATTTATGCTAATAGTTTTACTACACAGAAGTTTGTCCAGCGTGAAGGATATGCATACACGGAAACAAGTGAATTGGGTCAATTTAGTAAGTGTTTAGTGCATGCAATGTTCAGTTTTGGATTGATCATATTCTATGTAAGTTGTTCATTTATGTAGATGAATGTCCTGCCAATTGGGAATATGTGCTTGAAGGAATTCGTAAAATGAGTCATTCGATAGACACTTCTGGAGATCGGGAAGACGATGATATTCATCCTCCTAAGGTCTAAATCTATGTCCTACTTATGTTGATTTCGCGTGTGGTTGATTTTGCGCGTGGTGACAGAAGTTAAAGACTAATCTTTTGGTTTATGTCGTTAATGTGATTATCATAAATGTATTTTGTTGTGGACAACTTTACTGTCAGCGTAAACTAAATTTTTATGCGCGTCATTAGGAAAGAAGATTTGTTGTGCTGGCATCTACTATTTTGTCAAGCCAAACTAAAGAGGATATTACTCGTGGTAAGTACATTACCTTCTCAAGTTATTATGGTCATGAAATACCTGTCATGAGATGTGTTTTCTTCTGTTCATAGTTTGAGAAGCTTCATTCTAAATTGCAGTGTTATTTTTCGATCATATTTATGGTTTGCGACATGACTATGAAATAGTTTGATCCATGTAGTCAATTTTCATCTAGTAGAAAAATGCTTTGGTGGTTGCTGACATGCTGTATATGTAGAGGAAAGAAAGTGCAAGAAAAACTCGATATTTCTTATACAGCATGATGTAGAAGGCTGAACTTTGAAAACAATAAAGTGCTAATCTATAAAATTTGAGCAGCCCTTACACTTTGACCCTGTAATGTGTTTATCATTTGTCTCTTTAAGAGTTTGTTTTTTCAAGAATAGGAGCAACTCAACGTCTTCGTCAAAATGGTCTGCTTACTGCTGATGCACTCAACAACGCTGATGAAGAAACTATCAGAAAGTTGATTTACCCTGTATGTTCGTCGTTAGCTTTTGAAAACTGTGTTTCTTGTACGTTTCAAATAATTTGGACTTGGTGGCAAATTAAGAATGTCATTTTTTATGCTTCCAGTATTTCTATAAGATGTTAGCATGTCAATTTCTTTTATTTTATGTTATTTTTTTGTTCTATTAATTGAATATCTATGCTTATACTTTCGGGTATTCTTTTCACAGGTTGGGTTTTATATAAGAAAAGCCAGTAACTTAAAGAAATTGGCTCATATTTGTCTAACAAAATATGACGGAGACATACCTAACACAATTGAGGAACTACTCTCACTTCCAGGCGTAGGTCCTAAGATTGCTCATTTGGTATGTGCACATTTTTTTTCGTAATTCAAATAGTATGTTTCATTAATTTTAAGATTCATTTTGTTAATGGTATTAGCAATTGTAGGTTATGATTATTGGATGGAACAATGTCCAAGGGATATGTGTAGACACTCATGTCCACCGCATCTGCAATCGTCTTGGGTGGGTTTCGAGATCAGGCACAAGACAGGTTTGTTTTATATTAGGTAGTATCAGTGTATCACATTATAGTTACGATAAGCTTCATTACGTTTGATGGAATTTATTACTTTCTCTTCCCTGTGCCATGCCAGAGAACTTCAATACCGGAAGAAACAAGAAAGGCCCTACAACGGTGGCTTCCAAGGGAAGAATGGGTTGCAATAAACCCTCTCCTGGTATGCATAACTCAATCTCTCTCACTGACTATATACTAGTATACAGTACTATAAACTTTAGAATATATCAACAAATGCACCTAAATAGTTATATATTGAATGTGGTGTGTTATTGATTGTGAAAAATATTTTCTGGCCTCTTACTATACCATCTGTTTTACAACAGTCTTTGTATATATGTAAAGCATCCTCTGACTTGAATATGAAATTGAACAGGTAGGATTTGGAAGGACAATTTGTACTGCTTTACGGCCTCGCTGTGGAGAATGTGGTGTAAGTAAGTTCTGCCCATCAGCATTCAAGGAGACTTCAAGTTCATCTTCTAGGTCCAATAAGTCTTGATTGAACAATAAGCTGGAATCAAGCTGATTATTTAATTTCATGTTTTATACACATACATAGCTGAGAATTTGGATGTGATCAAATTATAGGGAAATTTCTCGCACATACCCGTGTATCGAGTGTTGTATATATTTTGAAGAAAGACTTGTGTTTCAACTAAAATATATGTTTATGTATTGAAGAATTACATATATTCAACTAATTTATTTTCTTCATGTTTAACTGCCCTTCTATTGCCTTTACTGGGTTTTAGCATGCCAATAGCAAAGGATATATCAGGTTCAATAATAGTACTACAAGTCTCTAACAGCATTTTTGTGAATTTGAAAGTTGAAGCTAGTTAATTTCTCTCAAATTTTGTGGCTTTGTATACTGCATTTACCAGCTTTGTAATGCTTTTTTAAGAATAAAGTTCTCTCAAAGGGGATTACTCTCAAATTACAAGAGATGATCTCCTTTCTAATCCACCTATCTATTTATAGGCAGCATGCCTTATTTGATCTTACTAACTCTACACAAAATTAATAACCATTAATTAATTAATTAACTAACTAACTAACTAGTTAACTAATACATAACAACCTATCTAAAAATAGTAGACCTATCAATACTCTCCCAAGAGACATTCACATTGTCCTCAAGGTAAAAGATAATGTAAACTAAAAAGTGTAGATTTCAACATTTTTTTAAATTCAGTAGCAGTCATAGATATTTCACCCTAGTCCCATTGAAAATAGACGAAGACTCAATTCGATTTGATGTGTTAAGCTGTTATTGAAAAGTGCCGAATTTCAATAGCAATGTGGGCTTTGCTCTTTTTCACTAATTTGAATGACTTCTTATGGTCACATATTGGCTCAAAATACCAAATTGGCATATTGATTCAACTACTTTTTTCTTTTCACCTATTATTGATTCTTTTATTTGTTTTACAGTCAATCTTGACTCTTGTTTATTGCTTGGATTTGTTTTTGCCCTTCTCGCTTCTGATTCTTTGCTTTTATTTTGTGATGCCGCTTGTTCTTGCATCTCATCTTTGCCGGAGGTGCTCCTCTTTTGATTCTTATTCCTTACAAGATACTATTTCTGTCGCTATTTCTTCTTCCTCAGGATCTTGGAAATAAACTCTAAACTGTGGTTTGAATTTTATGATGAAAGCCTTCCCCAAGGCAAAGCACTCAATGTTTCTTATTGATTTTCCTGAGCTTCTCCCTCAAGTCCCAAACAAACTCATGATAATCATTTTTCCTCCCGATTCTTTAGTGCTTTAAGATATTGACAAAATTGGATCAACCACCAATAAGCATCACTATGCATCGCTGCTTCTGTCAAATCTTGACACCAATTAATAGAGCCAACTAGTGATTATAACTAAAAATGGGGAAGAATTTTATAACTGAAAATGGGGATGAATCCCCTTTGGTTACAAACAACGACAGCACTTTGAAGGTTTGCCCACCTCCTAATACCAAAAGGCCCTATTACTCTCAAATTATAAGAGATGATCCCCTCTCTAATCCACCTATCTAAATGCCTTATTTGACCAAACTAACTTTCCCCAAAACCACTAACTATTAACTAATCAACTAACTTATCAACTATTTAACTAACAAGTAACAGTTTCTTCACTAACAATAGTAGACCTATCACTATAAGAGCATTATCATGACTAGCCTATCCTTCATAGTGCGCAGCTTTATCTTTGTTCGCTGATCATCTATCAGATGACAAAGGAAGACGTTGGAAAATAAATGATGCTTAGAGCATGACGTTTAAAAATTAAAGTAACCTGCTATAGCCCTCCCCTCTCCATTGAAGAGTAGTAACATGTTATCCAGATATCTTGGCTACATCACTAATTCAAGATATGATATTGGTTCAATGTGCTTGAGAAGCTCGTGAAATTAACAAAAGTGCATTGGTTTGTTAACAAGATTGCAAAGCTAAATCAACTATGCTGTTACATATAGAAATACATCCGTAAAACATATCATAACAAAAACATCCACCCTGATATCACTCAACAATCTACTGTTGATTCTACTGTTGAGTAAGGACGGGTAAATTACATAGATGACATAAACTTGTCCTTTAATATTAAGCTGCCTGAGGAAGTCTACTCTTGCGCCAGACCCAATAGTTGACTCTAATTGGATCAACTTGTTCTAAAATAGAACAAACAGTTCTTGCTATATCTGAATCTTGTTTATCAAAATCTGAAGTCTTTAAAGCCTCAATGGCATCTCTGAAATCTTTATTTGGTTGATAACCGAGGCAGATAAGATCCAGCAGAGTACTAAGAGCAAACAAATAGTTGCTCTTAGTTTTCAAAATCTTTAAACATACTGAAGATACTTGGGCATCGTTTACATATAATGTGAACTCATCTTTGAAAAGTCCTCGAAGATATCTCCACGAGCTTTCATTTTCAGGGTAAGAAATAATGGCTTCAACGGTGTAAAGCACTTCAGACTCTCTCATGGCTTTTAGCCCTCCCAAGAAGGGAGACCTTGTTATGACAAAATATCTCTGCATAAAAAATTATATGTTAATTTGATCAAAATTGAAAAGATGAAGAAAATAAATTTTAAAAGCAAAAACATTTTGGTCGGTGACATAAATATACAGAGTACTACATCCATTCGATCTCTCAATTAGTTAGGCAACAACCATACAAATCCCAGTTAAATATTTATCCATATCATGTTGTACCAAAACTAAATAAGCAGTTGGATACCTGATTCCAAGCAGAATTGTTAAATATGTCTTCTGCAAGAAGTTCACTACAATAATTGAGTTCATCTTCCCATCCTCCTAGATTTTGAAGAACCCACTGTCCATACAAGAAAAGAAGCAAAATTTTATAGAGTCGCAATAATAAGTTACCAACACTAAATTGTATTGCCCAGACTATTGCACAATATTGCCTACAAAACAACAAAATATTTACAGGAAAAACCGTGAGGAGACGATGGGAGAAACAAACCTGCCTATGAGACCATGCATGATAGTGTTTGGCGTCGACAGACAGAATCTTTTTGGTGAACTCAAGTTCACTGTTTCTAGCTTCAGGTCCTAATTTCTCAGCAACCCATCGTCTATGATGCCTATAAACATCTGGCATCAAAATCAATGCAATGATGTGTGTGCAAAAAAGAGTTAAATGAAGTAATTTAAAGCAGGACATCATGAATGTATATGATTTATATATGAAATTAATGTCAAATATAAACTATATCCTCAAAATGTTTTCATGTAACTGAATGCCATGTCAGTATGAGCAAAGAATTATGTTCTTTACAATTCCACGAAGGGAGTAATATGCAAGAAATAAGAACAATCTCTTAGTCACGGGCCAGCAACATCTGCAGGTGAATGACTACATTATACTATTGGATATCTCCATCATGGTTTAATCTGTAAAGGTCACTGCAGGTGAGTAAACATATGTTATGGTTAGCCCATTAAACGAAGACTAGAGAGTCTGTGACACCCACTATTGGACTGACACTGGAGGAAAGAACATCACATTATTAAGATAAAGTCCCATCTTTCAGTATGTGAAATAATATGCTTTATCCATTATTACCTTCCATTTCCGTTATAATTGATAAGTTACCAGACACAATGGCAGCAATGTTTTGAGAGCATACGTGCTCTTGGGATACAGATCTACAACTTTCAGCAAGGAAAAAAACTGGTACAACTAGTTTAAGAAAGGAAGCCTAATGCTATAAAGATACAACATGAAAACATTTCAAGAATAAGTCCATAACTGTGTTGACCTGACCCATCATAGAAAAGCCATTGAATACTACTTGATGCGTTTTACTTGATTATTTGTATAGCAACCTAGACACTAATGCTGCTTAATAGGTGTTCGTATAAACATAATTATAAAATTTGCTACATTCCACTATTAATGACACAAATTAAGGTCCCAAACACAACATAGCCTGGTACATTATGAAGAACTCAAGTGCATTATAACTTCCAGGAAGGAAAAAAAAACAGAGATATGCACTGATACAATAAGTAATTGCAAGTAAAATAGAGTGCATTAGAAACAGAACTTCCAATGAAATAGTTCTAAATTTGGTGCCCTAAACATTTACCTAGAAAATAAATTGCTACAAATGACAATTGGAATTAGAATCAAAGAAGCAAAGAAAGAGATCTCACCAAATCTGATAATTTTTTGAATTTCCACTGGCAACACGCTCCACGAATTCCCGTTCAACATGTAGGTCAACTTTCAGTGACTCAAGTAATAACCGCCGGAAATGCCACACCTACCAGAAAAACAAATTCAATTAAATTGTCACAAGATCACAACTTCTCAAACCCTAATTTTCATCATTCAGTTAAATATTGGTTTTAATTTGCAGTCAATCTGAAACTGAGATAAATGGTTAGGGTTGGGAAATACCGTGTAGTTTCCGGCGTTTAAACCGATAGCTTCGGCGGTGAGAGAAAGAGCGCGCGGCGAAAGCTCTTTGGCGAAGTAAACAGCACGAAAGTAATCCATAACTTCTGAAAACTCTTCGGAGTAGTTGATCGGTACGACGGGGCTAGGGCCATCGTCTTGTGGGATCGGAGTAACATCTGACCACTTCGGTCGTAATCTTAGCGGCACACGATCGTCTTCTTCAACTTCGATATTCCCGGCCATGTTCTGGATTCTTCTTCACTTCTGTTCACTCAGAGTCCTAGAACCAGTACTAGAAGAACTATGTAAGTGTTAGGGATTCAACCGTGCACCCCCTATTAATCCTTTACACGTGGAAACCCATGTTTCTAATGCATACTCGATACTCCTTAAAATTTGTTTTAATATTTACCTTATTTTAAAATATCAAATTAATTCTTTAAATTTTTTTGACATTTTATTTCTTTTTTAAAAATTTCTGTTATAATAAATTGTAAAACTATATATTATTTGAATTTGTTTTTCGTACTGATCATAAATATGCAATTAAATTTATCAAACAACTTAGGATTCATGAGAATCAGGTAAAAATGAATGAAATATATAACGAAAAATTATCGATTTGACCAAAATACTCAACCAAACGCATAACTTATTACATATTCGTAATCAACACAAAAAACTAGTTCAAATGGTATATGAATTTGTAATTTATTGTAACGGAGATTTTTAAAAAAGGACCAAAGTGTTACAAAAAAATATAAGAGTAACTTGATATTTTAAAATAACTTAAAGGATCTAGACAATAGTTTTGCCTTTTTTTTCCAGACTTTTATGAATCATCCCATGATAATGTCCGATAATGGAGAATTAATTACGAGATACTTGACATTGACCGTCTTCGCATTCTCATTCAGTCCAAACGTTGTTTTAAGTGTTATATGGTCATTCACTTATATAAGTTTGCCTGAGAATTCAACCAAAGAATCTCGAAATCTCCAAATGTCTAATATCTAGTCAGAGTTTCTTAAATGTCCCAAAAAAGATGTTTATTGAGCTTTTAGAGTTGAATAATGCTCCATTTACATCTCAATTGTCATACTGAGTCGTAATGACCATAAGGTTGATGTTGTGAGGGTGGATGTCGACGTTGTCTCGACTAAAAAAGATGTTTATAGGTTCTAACTCCTTTTTCAAGTTTTGTTTAGGGTTAGTGGGTGTGTCGTTCGTTCATAGAACCTAGCGAGCATACTTTTGACAAGAAGAATTGGATTATCTCCTCCCGACAAACTCTTATGTTCTGGTACTAACTGGCATGTATATATTGGTAGGTGTTGTGGCCCATCGTTCTGCGATCATGTTAAAGAATACGACTAAGGCGAGTGATGGAACAAAATGATAAATGCGACCTAGGTCAGAATTATCAGGGCCCCATAGTATGTGCCAATTGTACTTGCCTAAAAGTACAATGAAAGACGACCTATAACTATGTAAAGCTGTTAGAGGGTTTTAAGGTTTTTGAGCATGGTGAGAGTTCGCCCACATATGGTTGTGGAGAGCTTTTATGTGGATTTTTTAGGGGATTTCTTTATCCATATTCCCTTCTCTCAAAGGGGTGTATATATGATATCCTCTAGGTCTGGATTAGATGCCAAATGGAGAGGTTCCTTTTCTTTCAGCTAAAGGCATGAAAGTGGGAAACTAAATTATTTCCTACAACTGTGGTGAAGCAATTATTCCCCATCTCTTAGTTTAGTATATGTGTGTCACATACCCCCTCAATTGAATTAGTAGGGAATATGATTGAATTGGGGTGGTTAAGCCCATGCCTAATACAACGACTAGGTATGGGCGCCAAAGGTAAGTATTTGGTTTTGGCGACCTTCAACCCACAATTGGGTGCTTGTCCAGTATTGGTATAATTGTTTTAGCTTGTGTCCCTTGAATTATTCTTTCCCAGGGTCCAGTAAAATTATCCCAGTCTAATCCCTGACAAGCATGTCGCTTAATTTTGATATGATTCTATCATTTCTTCCTCTTTTCTTAACTAATAAATCAGGTAATAAAAAATAGATGTCATCCCTAACCAAATTTACTAGATTTTCCAAATATTTGGTTGCATATGATGAGTAACCACTATTGATTTTGAAAATATCGGTATAAATGCATCAATATTTATTGGACTTTTTATGAGTATACTAAAAATCCAATAAAAAATATCAAACAAAAAAAATTGCTTACTTGTAAATATAGTAAATCTACAGTATATTTTGAAATATACTTACAATTTCATTTTATTTTATTCAAAGACTATTTTGATCAAATTACCCCAAGTGTGGTGTCAGGTTTAATGTGTTATTTGGGTTGGGCTTAATTCTTCGTTATATAGGATATTTCACTATTTCGGCCTTATAAGTAAAATAGAGTATTTAACCACAAATATTGAATTCTCGAGCGAGTATATTATAGTCACGCTTTCCTTTGTTAGTAATTATGGCGCCTCAATCTTTGAGCATGAAAAAGCTCTTCGTGGATATCTTCAAATGTAAGAATGAAATCATCCGATAAATTCGTCTAGAGTCCCTTCTCTAGGAGCATCGTCTTATCATACTCATTCTCAATGGAATTTCTCTCATGGCTCGGTACCAGAATTCCTCCTCCATAGCTTGGTACCTTCCCTCTTTACTCTTTTTTCTCATATATTTATTGGTTCATAAGAATTAAGATTAACACTTCATAGGATATAGAGAAATTGTGTATTTCTTTTGGTTTTAGGTTTATAAGTATCTACTCTTATTATTTCATGTATATCCTTGATTCTCAAATGATGCCTTTTAAATTATACTTAATTTTTAAATTCTGAAATCTGGTGATTTAATCTATGCACATCTATAACGCATAAGTGTAGGTACAATATTTGGTGCGGATACCGATACTGGTACGTGATACAATATTTAAAAAATAATTAAGGAGAGATACGTTAATAAAAAGTAAGAATTTTTTATAAAATGTATTTCTCTAAAAAACTAAATTGTTAGGATACAATACTGAAGAAACTTATTATATTGTATTTGAGAAAACCACAAACGTCACTTAGAAACTGAAGAAGAAAAAAGTACAACAAATACAGTACTTATACCCAATACATGTACGTATCTGATACTTTACTAATTTAAAAGTACACATAATTCATAGATGCAATAAATACTAATCACACTTTATTTTTTAGCCGGTAATTCTAATTAAATGGAAAATCTAGTTGATGCAAGGGGAACCTCAAGTATCAATGAAAATAATCGTGAAGCTAACATTGAAGGATCTTTAAGTACATTGAGAAAAGAAGAGGTAAATCTAGTTTGTTTTATATCCTAAAAATATTTCATTTGATATATTTCGATATGTTTTTAGGCATTCAAAAGTAGATATAGATTTCCGGTATATCTCATGCTTTTAAATTTGAAGTTAGTGTCATTCAATATTTAATACTTGTATGTTAAGGATTCTTGGTTAATATCTTTACTACTGTAATTATCTTGCAGTGTTGTTTTGGTTGCTATTTTTACTCTATTTGAAATATTTGTTAGGATAGAGAGCAATGAAACAGACGTTGTAACCTAGCTTTGTTTTAGAGGTGTCTGAGTTTGTGATCCATAAGTTAAAAAATGTAGTAGCATTATGTAATAATATATTTCAATAGAAATGAAGAGTAAGTTCTGAAAGTAAAAAAAAAACCATAAAAATTAAATTTTTGTTATTCCGTGTAGGACTGGCCTAAAGGTAAGACGATCAACGCAAAAGATCTAAGCTTCAAAATTTTGAACTATAAAAAAGCCTCAAAATTTTGCAAAAGATTTAGGCTTCAAAAGTTTAGACTATAAAAAGGTCTTGAAATTTTTTAGTTTAGTCATAAATATTTCAAATGACATATTTCTGTATGAAATTTTATTGTTGGTAAAAGAGATACCTCGTATTTTTTAGGTATTTGATTCAACTCTTATCAAATACAAAATTTGATTTTATTTATTTATTTTGAAGGTCTCATTTAAATAAAAAATAGGCTTCTAAACAGAAAAAAAAAAACAGGAATAACAAAATTAGAGGTAAATAAATAATTTTTCCCTCATCAATCATATTACTTGATCGTACCTCATCAAAGAGATCGCTGGCTGCCACGCGTCTGAGCTGTCAAACTGTTGACTTGATGGATAGAGGGGGGTGTACCTAAAACACACTCTGATGCCAAAGTAAGTGACGAGCAGAGTGATAACAAGTACATAGAGAAAAGTGAGAAAATTAGGTTACCTTACCCTCTAGTGGAAAAGGGTATTTATAATGAGCCCCCAGCGCAGGGCCAACGATTACCATGCATTGGACTGAGTTTTCAGGCCCAACATTGATAACTGTTAGGGCTGACGTGATGTCGTAAAGACCAGCACGTGGTCTTCACCCTAGTGTAACTGTTCAGTGCTATCCGGGAGGTGGAGGACCGAATCATCAGAACACGGGTAGTTACTTAATGACGTGTCTCCACGTAGGGGACATGTAGAAAACGTGGGAAGGAGGTCTGAGGAGCTCCTCGGACATGTTGGGCTCTTCCCGACCGCGGGGGAGAAGAAGGCTAGTTGGACGACTACGAAGGTCTTGCCCGACAGTTGTTGGCTTGTGTCCGACGGGGGAAGATGTTGTGCCCGAAGGATCTTCTGCCCGTCCATGAGGTCTTATTGGGCCCAAATCCAGTGGGGTTTGGGCCCTGCTCGATTGTGGGCAAAGCGTCAGCCAAGTCCAGAACAGTAGCCCCCTAAGTCGTTGCTCGCGATCAAGCGAACTATGACTTAAGCAGTGAAGGGCGTCGGCTGCGTCGCTCCATCAGGAAGGCTACGACTATGTCGGTCAGGCGAACCCACGACGTGGGGGAAGCCCGCAAGCGAGGAGGAGAACCTGAAGAGACTCGGGGAAGGCAGAGGGTCGCCACGTGTCTCCCTGTGGCGGCTATGGGTTAGGTACTTGAGTGTCTAGCGACGCTTCGTTTCCTTGCTAGGGATATATATATATATATATATATATATATATATATATATATATATATATATATATATATATATATATATATATATATATATATATATATATATATATATATATATATATATATATATATATATATATATATATATATATATATATATATATATATATATATATATATATATGGGGATCCAGCTCGTCCTTTCGTTTATTCGCTT